AAAAAAAAAAAATATATGTAATAATTATATGTATTTGGGATCATTGATATGCGTTTATATTTTTGTTAATATTTTGAAATAGATTTTATTTATATTTTCTGTTTTCACTTTCATTTTAGTTAAAAGTTTTAGTAATTTTGTTGTTTTTGTCATGCTCTTTTTGTTACTAATACGCCAACATTATTAAATGTTTTTTATTTGTATTAATTATTTATTAGTTTTAGTTATTTTAGTACTTAAAGTTAAACTAAATGAAAATGACAAATAATATGAGTAAAATAAGCTGAATTAAATTATTTTTGTAATAATTCAGTTAAATGTAAAATTTGTAAATATTTTCAGTAACATTATTTCAAGTAACAAAAATGTATTCCTATAGTTTTAGTTGACTATAACAACCTTGCAGCTAGATATTTTATGTCAAAATGAGTCAATGATTCACTGATTATCTCATCCAAAAATCCATTAACAGAAGTTCCCAGCATTTAATTCCTTTGTTTTTCTCTTTGTCTGTCTAGATTAAACTTGGAGACATCCAGGGATGCCAGCTCTGTAAGAATCATGCAGGTCACATGGTCAGGTACCACAGTCCTCATCATTTTCACCTTGCTGCAGTTTGTCCAGTCGGAGTTGTCGGAGGGTCCTTTGGTTCCAGGTAAGCATGCATGAGCCCTGTGTTTTGTGATTTTATTCCCAGGTTCTGATGTGGTTTCCCTGGTTATTCCCAAGCTACGTGGAACGGACACATAAGCCTATTAATTGCATCTGAACTTTGAAAAAAAAAAACAGTTATTTTTATGGGAACACAGAAGCATCTTGACTTTTATATTCTGCAGTGCAGGCTTATGTGCTTTTCCCATGTGGCTCTGGTGTGTTTTTCCCATCTCGTCTGTATTTCCAGTCGAATGATGAACTGTCTGTTTGTGTGATGGACACCATTCAAGGTATTGTCAGATCAACTGGTTCTCTATTTCAGGTGAATGATGAATAATGTTAAATGAAAGGAGGATTTCAAGATAAACGACAGACATCAGTCAGGAGCGACTGCATTATGACTGTGTTCCTTTATCATGGGTTTGAGAATTGAAGCGGATCATATCCCTGAGAACCCCTGAGCTTTTAAAGGGACAGTTCACCCCAAAATCATTTACTTAGCCTCATGTTGTACCAAACCCACATGACTTTCTTGATTTAGAGGAAGGTTTTTTTTGTCCTGGCTGTTTGATGACAAAAATGTACCATAAAATTGCCATAAAAATAGTCCATACGACATGTGCACTATATTCCCAAGTATTGTGCAGCTCAATTTAACCAAAGTTAAAGTCTTATGGAGTCAAATAAACCACTTATATTGGGAATTTAGGAGTTAGACAGTTCTAATTCACTTTCATTATACACTACCGTTAGAAAGTTTAGGGTCTGCACGATTTTATAAAATCATTTATTTATTTATTTTTAAATGTTTCTTATACTCACCAAAGCTGCATTTATCTGATAAAAAAATACAGTAATTATTGTGAAATATTACAATTTAAATTTACAGTTTTGTGTTGTAATATATTTTAAAAAGTAATTTATTCCTGTGATGCAAAGCTGAATTTTCAGCATCATTACTCCAGTCTTCAGTGTCACATGATAATTCAGAAATCATTCTAATATGCTGATTTGCTGCTCAAGAAACATTTCTGATTATTATCAGTAGGGGTGGGCAATATGACCAAAATCTTATTTCACGGTATGAGAAATTTTATTTCATGATAACGATATATACATCGATATAGCTATTTTTATTTTATTTTTGTTATTAAAATGAAGAAAAAGTAGCAAATTACAAACACAACAGAACACATAAATATGAAATAAAATTTTAATTCATTCAGCTACAGTAGGCTAGGTTTATTTAACATGTAGTAAGAAATATTACAGAAATTGAATAAAGTGTATAAATAAAACACTGCATAGTCTTCACGTTATCAATCAAACAACATTAATAATGACAGACAGCAGCAGGTAAATAAGGCTGCTTTCCTTTTAAGACCAATCCAATGTACTGAAACACATCCAGTTTTCACCCAACTGTTTACATTTATTTAACTCATAACCGACTGTGTTTACGGGAATAGTTCACACGATGGGCATTATGACATATCTGTGTGCGTATTTGACCATTCAAGCACAATAAAACAGGAAAGAGATCTGTTTTCGCGATTGCATGCTGTCTGAGAGGGGTTTCAGTGCGCGCGCTTCGACTGTGTGTCAGTCAGTGCGAGCAGCGGATTGTGCTTTTTTTCACCGCTTATTGCACTTAATAACTTTATTAAACATCATGCATGTCCCAAATCCGCGATCGCATGCTGTCTGAGAGAGGCGCTTTCTGAGTGTGTGCTTCGTGTGTGTCAGTCAGCGCAAGCACCGCATTGAGTTATTTTTCATTGCATATTGCACTTAATAACTCGATCAAGTGCAGCACTCTTTATTTTCTCATTCATGCATGTTTCCTTATCAATCAAAGGTGAATATAACGTTTAAGCAGTATGTTACGCAGATATATTTGCATACCGTGGAATACACGATATAGCAAAATCTCTAATGATAGAGGTAACGATGTATACCGTCATACCACCCAGCTCTAATTATCAGTGTTGGATACATGGAAACCGTGATACATTTCCCCCCCAGGATTCTTTTATGAATAAAAAGGTGAAAAGAACAGCATTTATTTAAAATGGAAACCCTTTGCAGCATTATAATTGTCTTTACTGTCACTTTTGATAAATTGAATGTGTATTTGCTGAATAAAAGTATTAATGTTTTTTTTTATCTTAACAACCTCAAACTTTAGAACAGTACTGTAGAAAAAAAAATCACACACACACACACACAAATCACATTGTGTGATCACAGAAAAAAAAAACCATGTGGGTTTGAAATTACATGAGGGTGAATAAACTAAGACAAATATAAATATTCATTGTGTGGATGAACTATTCCTCTAAAGATACACTTCATTAAAAACCTTTTTTTTAATCTCGTAGACTTTTACCTAAGGACACCTGAGCAAGGGTGTCATCAGTTTTTTCATCACTGGCACCATATTGTTTTTTCCCTGTAAAGCGTAGTTTATTCTAGAGCCCGACCGATATGGGTTTTTTGGGACCGATACCGATATATATATATATATATACACATATATATTCTTTTGCTACTGGATAAAACAGTAGCCCTGAACGTTGTACTGACACCTACTGGTGTGGATGTAGCATCACACAAAGGCAAACGTTTTCAGTTACCAGTCCTATAGTAGAAATGCCTATAAATGTAAATCACATAGTTTTTTACTTATATTTTGATGGACACAAGTTTCCCTTGGAACTGGAATCATGGCGGAATTTCATGTGAAGTCCACTTCTCAGGGCACTTGCGGTCGAATAAGACAACGCTTGAATGCTGCTGCCTGAACAAAAGACCTCCTTACTGAAGTGAAAGTGTTGGCTGGTGTCACTATCTCATGAACGCGCTGGCGGATCTCCACCAAATTCGGGGGATCCCTTCAGCTCGAGGAGCCCTCTCGAATGCTACCATCCGCGCGCCGGTAGCCCCCCGGGATCGCTTGATCCATCGGCGCCGGACCGCGAATTTAACCACCTGTAACTCCCGAACCCCGGGGGCTATCCAAGCGGGGGTGGTCTCATTCGAAAGAGGGCCTCAAGACATACACTCAATTCGCGTTCGAGAGGGTTCCTCGAGCTGAAGGGATCCCCCGAATTTGGTGCGGATTCGCCACATGAATAGACTTAAGCTTTAAAGCGTTTCATCCAGGTCGCCAGTAGCAAACAATGGAGCGCGCTCTGCTGGACAAACTAAGTAATTACACCATTTGAAGTATTTTATCTGCATTATATGTTCTGTAAAAAAAAATTTCATATCGGCGGCATATTCGCCGATACCGATATATCGGCGACAGGCTCATATCGGCCGATAAAATCGGCAAAACGATAACGCTCTAGTTTATTCCCCCAATTCATCATGATCAACTTCTGCAGCAAGCTCTCTTTGGTCCTCTGTATCTCCGTTTCTAGCCTTTTTCTCCCTAATTCACATCAGCCCGGATGATACCTCCCCAAATCACCCTGTTATTCAACCATTTTCCTCTTTATTGCTTCACACTCCTGTCCGTTATGATTCCTTCTCCTCACTTGTTTACCTTCCCTCCTTCTCATCTCCCTTCGTTCCCCCTCCTTTCTCCGTTTTCCTGTGCCTGCTGCTTTAGAAACAATTTACTTGTCAGCTCGGTCTGTTGGTGCGCGTCTCTCTGGGTTTAATATTCTTTTCTGGTGTGCCGTTGGAGGCGGCTGTAATTTCAGTCGCAAGCAGGCGTGTGGTGATGCCTTTTGCTCGCTGCGAGCCTGCATTGATAGCTGGAGCCCGATATAGCAGCGTTAATGAATAGGGCTGAGCCAGGCGCTTCCTGCCTGAAGTCCAATTCACTCCACCTGATGCGCTGCGCAGGAACCGCCGCTGAGTGAACAGTGTGCAGCTGAGCATGATGGGTTGCATTCTCCTACCACCTGACAATCTCAGAGTTTCTTTGATGAAACTGGTGTCGTGTTGTGTGATAGCTGTAGACTAGATATAGATGCACATCTATGCACCAGTGTCACTTTGCTATACACAGCTATACTATTTTAATTTCTCTTATCTCTTTGCAGACTCTGTCTTCTCAGTTAATAGAACAATTTTAACCTTCCATTTATATTTATTTGATAAGTAACTGCATGTAAGTATAGTCAGTTGGTCACTATCAAAAAATAACCCCCTTTAGGGTGATAAAAAACCCTCTGCTTCACATCCTGATCCTCCTTGTCAGATTTATGTTGAGATAATGACTGTCTAGCTGTACATTATCACTTATATATAGGTTTGTAAGCTGTTTGTCCATTTTTATACATCTATATCTATAATATCTATACCTCTGTATGAGAAACTGAGAAAAGGGGGCCTTGAAGAAGGAAAAAAAAAACACAGGTGGATTATGGGTCATTGCTAGATATCTGACCGAATGTATAACACAGCAGATTTGGTAGCTGTGCATCATGGGAGCAGGCACTTGAAGGAGCCGTGCACTCATCCCTCATGCGCTGCTGACAGCAGCACTTCGGTCCGCATATGTTCCGTTGCCTTGCCACACCAGGACGCTCCGTCAGTGTCCTACCCTCGGTGATTAAATATGTAGTTAATACAGTGCTATAAGAATATTGAATTACGCCACAGCCACTGTGATCTTTTTTGAAATTACAGGGCCAATTGTGCAAGACGACCGCTGCACTTTATAACAGGTGCCGGCTGGAACACAGCCTGAAGGAGAATACATTCACATCGCTGATGACCGGCTCATACTCTCTGAATGCCACTGAAACACTAAATAGCAACAATATCACTGTGGTACTTTCCTGTTTATCACTATTTATTGCCATATCATTATAGTCCCTATATTTACACTATCACTATAGCTCCCACGTGGGCCTTTTACCCAAGACCGAAGGGTCTTTTTCCTTATTCGGTAAAATGCAACTGTTACTGCCTTACCTGATGTTTTTA